TAGACATTCTCTCTCTCTCTCTCTCTCTCTCTCTCTCTCTCTCTCTCTCTCTCGCTGGATAAATATATACGTCAAGCACATGCTACCAAGATGCATAAATGTTCGCATCGCATATGAGAAACAAATGATACATCATGATAACAAGAACAGTAATATAATTATGAATTTGTATATTTTAACAGAAAACCATCCGACTTCCTTCATTGTCAAATGTTTCTGTAATTTGTCATAAAATATAATCATTTATAATATATAATAAATGTATATGTACTATAATTATCTATAAAACTTTCTCATAGAATATATTAAACTCTTTTGTTTTCATAAAAATCATTACTCTCTGCTGCTTTGTAAAGACATGTATTTCTTTATCATGCGTGAATGTGGTAATTAAAAATCGTGTGAGTTTTATGTGTACGTAGACAAAAGAATAAAAATTCTTAGCCGATCAATGTAGAATCCGCGAAATATATCGGAAGTTCTTTCATACTCTTATGTACGTTAATCGATTACTCTCATTTGTTACATTTATTGATTTTTTTTATTGATGTTTTTCTAACAATATATCTTCAACAGGTCTTTTCATCAATTTTTACAGAATCTCTAAAAATAATTCATTTGAAAATAATTATTTTGAAATTCAATTTTTTTTTAAATTACGCGTTTTCATATACAGCATGACTTAGAAGAGGAAAAGAGAAATTAGCAATAAAAGCTTTCTTTGATGAATTTAAAATTGACTTTAATTTACTGAAGCTCTGGTTACATAATAATTTATTTTTGTTAATTAAATAAATATATGTATAAATCTCAAGAATAAACACATGAAAATTCTGTATAGCCATGCTATATGCATATATTATTTACAATATGTTGCAGTATTAGATTTACAGGATAAAAAAATTATCAATCGGCCGATCAAAATGCATATTTCGTATATTTAAATAATATTGATAACTAGGATTCTTTTATGCGAGGGATGTGTGACCATTTAATACAAGTACTACCTTCTGGACACGCGATACGATATTAAACACTACTATTTATTTGGCAATTACGTGAAGCGAAAAGGAAGGGAGAAGGAGAAGAAAAAAAAGTCTTCTCATCTTGCATGTATTGGTCCCTTTCCACGACTTTTATGTGGTAAGCAATCGAGAAGTTCGCCATTATTGTGCGATAATAATATTTCTCACGTTATCATGACTTCCTACGCTAATCGTGAAACAAAATTGCGAAGAAGACAATTAAAAGTCATTTTGGTCATTGGCATGTGATGCCAATGACATTTAGTAGCAATGACAGTTAGTTAGCTCGATTGAAGTTTTGCTTACAGCACAAATAATACAGCGTCACATTTGAGAAGATCAGGAAACTAACAATATCCTATAGAGTAAAGTTTAAATAATTTTGAATATGGTATAATTCTGAATGAAATAAGATTTGATCCAATTTCAAGATTTAAGTTTGGTAACTCTGATCTCATTGTGTAGAGGATACTAAAGGGTACTGCCAAACAGGAAAAACCAAATCATGAAAATTGGATTTAAATCTTACTTTTCGTTCAGAATTGTATCATGTTT